TGACGGGATTCTCGATATGTTCTGCATCCAGAATGGCAACAACATTATGTTTAAGACTACTCGCTCTCCGTTGCTCGCGTGACACTCAACGTATATACCCCCGACACTCGATACCCGCCCACGTCCTCTTCGATCGTACAACCTTGGGCGGCGTGGGTATATATATATATATATATATACAAGTGGCACGTGTGTGCCCAGGTTCATACAACAAGCTGAAGGGGCGTTTGAAGCAGGAGTGACATGCAACAGCGAAGTCGCACTCGAGCGCAAGTGGGGTTGCCACACCTTGCGATGTGTGTACCAGGGCCCCCCAGGAAGCCTCAGGAGGCCCGACTTGGATACCAGAAGAGGCTCCAGGAGGCCCCAGGATTGTGAGTGTTGTGTGTGTGATGTGTGCTTTGTGTGGTGCGTGCTTTTTGTGTGTTGTCGGTGTTGTGTGTGTGTGTATGTTATGTTTGTCTAGCGTGTGATGTGTTGGGCGTGATGTGTGTCTCTGTGTGTGCATGTAGTTCTGAAGCCCCAGGAGGCCCCAGGAGGCCCCAGGCGGCCTCAGCAGGCCCAGGAGAACTCCAGGAGGCTCCGAGGCGGGGTCTGGGGTACCAGAAGGTCCAGAAAGCCCCAGGAGGCCCCAGGAGGTTCCAGGAGGCCCCCAGGAGGCTCGGAGGAGGGATCTGGGGCTCGATGTTGGGAGGATTTGTCATGCGAAACCGCCATTCTCTGAGAATCTGGGTCAAAATTATTGAAATTACCATGTGTGTTTGAAGGTTTTATGTTAAAATGTTGAAATTCCCATGTGTTTTTGGACCCTGACGTCACGATCTGCGTGAGGGGTGCCACCGATTTTCAGAATTTCGAGGATGTCCCGAGCGAAACGGCCAGAAAAATCGCGGACGACGTGCGCATTAATCGCCTCTGAGCTCTACTCCCTCGGAGAGGTGCGTATGAGAATATACATAGATAGTTGCGTGTGTGTGTGTGTGTGTGCGTGTGTGTGTTTAAGAGGAGATGCGTATGACATGTGTACATACACACATGCATGCTCATGCTTGTATACACGCATCTAAATACAATCTAGATATCATGTGTATGTGTGTGTCTGCCTTGTTTACCACATGTAGGTGGAACGACCCCTAAACTAATGGGAGGAAGGAGAAAGGCACAAGCGAGAGAGCGAGGAAGGGAGGATGAAGCAACAGTGGAGGGCGGCAAGAGGCAGATAGGAGCATTGAGGACGAACAACACACACTTACCAGGAGGGGAAGGATGGAGAAAGACGAGGATTCGCAGGCAGACCCTAACAAGCGGGTCGGGCGGGCGAACCCTACTGGCGAGTCGGGCGGGTGGACCCTCATGTCCAGGTCGGGGGAGCGGGACACTGATGCTATCAGTACACATCGCACCTCTGCAGTTGCTCCAAATCTCGAGATCACGTAGAACACAATAAGTTCTACAAAAGTTATGTTCTTAAAGGCGGCTCCTGGAAGTGAATCGACACCTAGCCTGAATTTCGCTCTCTTTCGCCTTCGGAATGATGTACTCAACCATGTGCTGTCGTCTTACGTGCACTCCACCTCTCGATGCGACCTGAATTTCCCGCTAACTTCTTGAACCTAGATTAAGAAAGCACAGAATTCAACAAGTAGTTCCAGCAGTTCTTTGGATAGCACTACTACTACTCCTACAGAGCTGGAAATGTTGCAGGAAGAAGCGCCATGATTTGAAGTAGGTTAGAAACATCCGGCGCGAGGGCTTCCAAGCACGCGAACGGGCGTACCATCGGCGGTGGACAAGCCTCCCTTCAGTAAACCTCCCCTCAGTGAAAACGGCCTGGGACCGAAACCGACGGACCTGGACCCGCCAAAGTGACGGCCGCGACGCCCTCTCGCGAGCCGAAAACTGCCAATGCACGAATCGACGTGTCAGGGTAGGAGGTCTCGCCCGCGGCCGGGGGCCAGCACAGCGCCGGCTTGCCGCTCCAGGGCGCCCCACGGCGGCCCCCATGGGCGTGAGCAGCGCGCTGGTCCCTTTGGCCCTTCCCTGCCTCCCGCGGCCGCTCCTCTTTCGGAGGAGGAGGAGGAGGAGGAGGAGGAGGAACAGGAGCAGGAGCAGGAGGAGGGGCGGGTCGGGCGAGCGGACCCTCACGGGGGGGGGGTCGGGCGGCGGGCGCACCCTCCGGCGCGGGTCAGGCGGGACGGGGAGGCCGGCGGGCGGGTTCTGAGCAGGCGGACGAACGGGCCCTCACGGGCGGGCCAGGCGGGCGCGGCACGGAAGCTCGATGGTCCGGGATGGTCCAGGATGGTCCTCGCCGAGAAAAGGTGCACACGTCCGAGCGATGCCAGGGGAAGCGAACTTCGCAGATGGTGAAGAGGCCTCGAGAGCACGGTCTCCTGAGTAAGGCGTGAAGAGGTCTCGCGCAAGAGCGCGATGCCTGGACGTCGAGAGCGCCTGGGCAAAGAAGTTCTAGGCGAGAGCGCGATTCCTGAGCAACTTCTAAGGAAGTCTCAGATGAAACACGACTTCGGATAAATCCCACCAGCTCCGTTTTTGGGCTAAGGTGATATAATCATATCTTTCTTTCCTCTTCCAAAGCGCTCTTCCCTTCGGGTTTTTTGAGGGCCGTCTCTTCACTCCTGAGATCCCTACAGAAGTTACCTAAAAGACCCTTTAGGGTCCTTCTCTTCCCCCCCCGTGTAAGTCACCCCCATCACCACCCGCCCGAGAAGACCCAGGGCCTCGTCCCAAGGACCGGGCTTTCGCCGTCGCGGGTCGCTCTGCGCGGACCCCGCTGAGGCGCGCGACCTGCTCGTTTCCATCCTGGCGCCTCTCACGGGCCGCTTCTGGCCCCAGGACCATCCCGAGGAGAACCCCGAGGTGGCGGACCACGAGCGCGGGCGCGCCGCGCCGGGCCCGCGTCAACGCCCTCCTCCTCCCTCTCCTCCTCCTCCTCCTCCTCCTCCTCCTCCTCCTCCTCTTCCTCCTCCTCCTCCTCGTCGTCCTCCACCTCCTCCTCAAACTCGGATGCGGAATGAAAATTACCATGTGACGTACCCAACCCTTTCTATACACGTGGCGGTTATACTCAGGACCACTCAATGCTGACTGGCATTCTGAAGGACCCGCAGCGCGCAAGAAGAGCACCCAACAATGATTTCAGAAGAGCGCAGCAAGAAGAGGAACGGTAAATATACAACATGGAAACACAGGGGCGTTGAAAGAAACGCGCCCAAAAAATGAACACAAAAGGGCGCGGTTCCGCAGATCGCAAGCCCCCCAGGGGGCGGCGAGGTCCCGAGGTGGTCCGCGTATGACGTACCTCCGCTGGGCCTCCCAGGAGCCCACGAAAGTGGCGACAATTGCGCAAATCGCAACCCCCCCAGGGGGCGGCGAGGTCCCGAGGTGGTCCGCGTGGGACGTACCTCTGCTGCGCCTCCCAGGAGCCCACGAGAATGGCGACAGTTGCGAAGATCGCAAGCCCTTCAGGGGGCGGCGAGGTCCCGAGGTGGTCCGCGTGGGACGTACCTCCGCTGCGCCTCCCAGGAGCCCACGAAAGTGGCGACAATTGCGCAAATCGCAAACCCCACAGGGGGCGGCGAGGTCCCGAGGTGGTCCGCGTGGGACGTACCTCTGCTGCGCCTCCCAGGAGCCCACGAGAATGGCGACAGTTGCGAAGATCGCAAGCCCTTCAGGGGGCGGCGAGGTCCCGAGGTGTCCGCGTGAAACCCACCTCCGCTGCGCCTGCCATGAGCCCACGAAAGTGGCGACAATTGCGCAGATCGCAAGCCCCCCAGGGGGCGGCGAGGTCCCGAGGTGGTCCGCGTGGGACCCCCCTGCTAGGCCTCCCAGGAGCCCACGAAAGTGGCAACAGTTGCGCAGATCGCAGACGGCACGAGAGAAGAGGAGAAGGGAACACAGGAAACAGAGAAGGAGGAGGGGAGGAGAGGAGGAGGAGGAGGAGGAGGAGGAGGAGGAGGAGGAGGAGGAGGAGGAGGAGGAGGAGGAGGAGGAGGAGGAGTAGGAGACCACACTGCTCTATTCAAAACGAGTCCCCAACATAGGAGGGTTGGGAAAAACTGCACTCCACGGGAAAAAGGCCAGGAACTCTGCGACCGCGGAAGGAAAAACAAGGGCAAGCGCGATGTGTACGGGGGGATGCGGCCCAGCGGCACCGGGAGGGCAAAGAGAGACGGGGCAAGTGGGCCCTGGAGGAGCAAATCAAGGGCAAATCCGCTCAGGATCGACCCCTGGTGCACAGTTTTCTGTCCCGGGCCGTTTTTGCAATCCTGGGGCCCTAGGAACGGCCCTCAGAGGCCGACAAAGGCAGTTTACCTTCTAGAACACAAAACCTGCTGGCAAGAACCCGTGCTGCCTTAGACCCCCAGCAGTCGGGATCCACTGACCCCGGTCAGCCCAGACCCGGGCCAGTCCGCCCTTGCAGGATCCTGCAGGATCCTAGATCTTTCGGCTCCGGGGAATGTACCGAGCGCCGCGGCCTTCCCAAGCCGGCTCCAAGGCATGGCCCGCGGCCACCCGAGACACCGAAGGAAGGGGGGATCCGGCAGGGGGCTGGCCCCCGCCGCCGACACGCGGGGTGGCGGAGAGGCGCGCCCGCCGTGGTGCCGCGACCCGTGGACGCCCCGGCCCCATCCATCGAGTAAGATATCGACTACAGAATTGATTTTTGGACGCCCCGATGGAGTACGGGAAGAATGTGTACAATGCCAAGAAACAAATGTTGTCCCAAACCAACAGCGGCCGCTGTTGGACAGGCGGCCGTCTGTCTCAAATGGACACAGGCCGCGGCGGCGCGGACAACGAGTCCTGTTCACAATGAACAGGAACTGCTGTTGGGCATCGCACCCAGTCTTTCCGTACCCACTTCGATCGTGCCGACGATTGTCCAGACAATTGAAATGCTCGCTGGATCCGCACAATTGTCCGCATCATCTCCGTAGGTCTACGAACGTTCTACGTAATGCGCTGCAGATCCGACGATGCATCTTCCTTTTGGGGTACGTCAACTCTGCGTACTATCCCCTTCTCGAAGGCAAAGATCGGCCCTGCCGGGCCCACCCCTGGAGCGTGCCCGGACAAGCGCGTCCGGGCAAATAGAGCCGATGTTTTGGGGAACCGCCCGTATATACACTAATCGAGTAAGGGATCGACTACAGAATTGATTTACCCCAAAATCAATATTGTCGAATATTACGGAAAATACTCAGAACTCTCGGTGGATGTACGAAAATTAGACGCATGCGTCGTAGATTCGAGGAAGGAAAAACAATTTCTGAGGTCAAGCAATTCTGTAGTCGATCCCCTACTCGAACTACGGTATCAGGGCCGTGTCCCACGGGGCTTCGCCGAGACGCCACAGGGCAACGTGTAGTGCCCTGGTCTGACCTGGTCAGAAAAAATAAGTACACTGTGCTTGGGCCGCCAGTTGCCACGAAGTACTGGTCGACCGACATGGCATGATATTGTGGACGTGCTTCTGGTTCCGATTTTGATGGCTTGTCGAAATTGGCCCAACCAAAATAGCCCAGGCACCCCCCCTTCTGCCTGCCGCCGCCCTTCCTTAGTTACAGATCCTTCGGTGGCAACTCATGGGAGCATCCCATACGATCTTGTTGGCTCTTGCGAATCGACGCTGGTCGACGCTAAAATGGTGCTAATCGGCGATAAATCGGCGCTGCCACATCATCGAGTAACAGACGCGAATCGACGCTGATGCACCCTAAAAACATAATGACGAGGGCATACAAGGCTCACACGAGTTGCCGCCGGAAGATCCCCAGACCCCTCCCCCAGGGCCACCCAGCTTCGCTTAGGTCGGGCATGTCCCCCTACAGGCGGATTTTGGACGAACATTTTAAGAAGCCAAAGCGTCTTAACAAGGAATCTCAAACTTAGTCAAAGATCGTCCCCCGATCATGTTTTATTATTTTTGGATATTCCTCCTAGCTTCGCGGACCCTCGCGCCGCGGCACGCCTCAACTGCCGACCTCCGCGCCATCCTCCTCCAGCCCAGGCGGCGGCGCGCGAGGCGCGGCTGCCTCTGCGCCCACCCCGAGGGGAAGGGAAGCGCTGGGGGGGTGGGACCGACTCAGGAGGGGGAGGGGACATCGGCTCGAAATCGGCGGCACGCGGCCGACTGATCGGCGATGGGCCTCTACGAATCGGTCCCAGTGAGCGATCGATCGCAGGTGGGGTAACGAGATCTGTGCATGTCCACTGCCGCAGGCCTGACCCACCCTGGGCCCATGAGCGGTGCAAATGCCACCCTGGCCAGGCTAGGAGGGCGTCATACACCGCTCCTGGGCCTAGGGCATGCCAGGCCTGGGACAGTGGATATGTTTTCCGATCCCCCCATGTGGGGAACTGGCTCAGAAGGGGGGCGAGGGGCGGGGGGACCATCGACTCGAAGTAGGCGATGCATCGCCGACAGATCGGCGATGTACCCCCGACAGCTACACCGCACGGTCCCAGGCGGCGTGGGGGAAGCGGACCCCCCTCGGCGATCAGTGGGCGACTGGGGATCGATGCGTCCAGCCTACGTAGCTGTTTTCGGGCCATAACTCGGACCTCAGGCGGCCGTTCGAGAGACGATCTGGACACCCCCGAGACGCCCTCGGCGAGGCGCAGCTGCTGCTCGGCACTCCGAGGCTGGAACGCCGACGGGAACCGACGGTAGGAGCTCGGCCACAAGAAACCTTCCACAAGAAGCCCAACCCTGAGACCCCCGTGACGACCATTGAATTTTGAACGCCACGCTCCCCACAGCAAAGCCATCGAAACCCAAGGCACCCAAGGCAACCTGGCGGCAAGAAGGGTGTTTCTTGGCATGGATTTCCACTGCATTAGACGAAGAGCGCCCGCAGCGCAGCAAACCTCCTGCTGGGGGCCCGCGCCCGAGCCCCCAAGAGACGGGTCGCCCCCTCCCGGCCAATCTCAGCCCCGACGCTGGGAATTGAGAGCGCCGAGAAGAGGACAGTTTGCTCGCCGCGGCGAGGGGGAGGAGGAGAAGGTCCCTGGAGCGGGCCCCGAAGCTTGGCAACGAAGAAGAAAGATGAGGAAGCGGAGGAGGAGGGGAATGAAGACCCCAACACCAAGGGAGCAAACCATGACACAAACATGGCATGGGTTTCCGCTGCAGCTGGCCAGACCTGGCCAGGGCCCCCTCCCGACTGGCTACCTACAAGACCACCCCAACCCAACCCGCAGACCCGAACATTGGGTTGGGGGAGGGGTACGGGCTCCGCATGCCATTCTTCAGCGTTCCCCCCACACACTGGGAATGGAGGGCAAATTGAAGCCTTCGGGTTGTGTTTGGGTGGGTTGGTGGTGGGCGGTGAGAGGTGGGCGGAGGAGGAGGAGGAGGAGGAGGAGGAGGAGGAGGAAACGGAGGAGAAGGAGGAGGAGGAGGAGGAGGGAGAGGGATTCCGAGGAGGTGGTCCTCTCGTTTTCTCGGAGGAGGGCTTTCGAGGAGAGGGGCGTTCGAGGAGGAGGTGGCCCCCGACGCCCGCCGCGCTCCTTCTCCCTCGCGACCAGCTCGGTGCAGGCGGCCCGCGCCTCCGCCTCCCGCTGCAGCCGCTCCGACAGCGCCCGGTGGCTCGCCTGCGCCCCCGCGCGGCGGCCCCCTTCGGGGACCCAAGCCGGCCCAAGAAGACACAAAGATCGCCGAAGGGGTTCCCAGGAGGGGCCAAAGGGGGGCCTTCAGGGGCCTTCAGGGGCCCCCAAGGCGGCCTCCATAGGCGTCAGGCGGGCCAAGAGTTCCAAGGCGGCCCAAGAAGGCCTTAGAGGCCTTCAAGAGGCCAATCAACTTTCGGGAGGCCCAACAGGTCGGGATCGCGGCCCAC